TCTGGCGGCCTGTCCGGTGCCCCCTGAGCTGACTGCTCGTGCCTCAAGAAAAGCAAATACCACCCCTCAAAACAGGGACAAAAAAATTACTGACTCTGCTTCTGGCCCTTTTCTTTCAAAGATATTGTCTTCTAACTGGTACGGGATATTTGCCTGCAAACCGAACGTTCTTTCCGCACTTGTCCAGTGGGCATCTCATCTGATTTTAAAGGCAATTTTGAATTTTACTCTTCCCTTCCGTAAAAACTGCCCAGTTCAGTATTACCTCTGCATAGCGTGTGCCCACTGGATCTGCCCTGCACCTTCTCAGAACAGGAAGAAGAGGGCAGACCTGACAACCGCAGGACATGTGCCACCTGCCCCAACTGCTTTCAGACCGAGTGACTAGTTATGGCCTCTGCGGGGGATGTCGTGACCACGTTCACTTAGACGATTATTAGGTTGATGACTTTCTTACCTTTCTGCTTGCCAAATCATACGCATGAACACACAAATGAAAACTAAATACAACGCGCCTCCCCTACCCAAACGTGCTGAAGAACAAAATTACAAACACATCGTATGTCTGAACGACGGGCTTACCTGGTAATGGTTGGTTTGTACCATGTGCTGTGGGCTGGGATAAAATCCTTCACTGGACCTTGGACTAGGATAACCGGGTCTGCTGGGCTGTGAACCAATCAACAGAGCATCACATGAATAAGCATTTTGATTATTTTAATAAATCCAGGTTATTGAAAATATTAGAAAAAGATATTTCTCTAAAAGAGCTTAGCTAGAAAGAATGACAGAGGATGCCAAGATATTTCAGTGGGGGAAACGGTCTTTTCAGCAAGCGATGCCAGGCCGACAGGGAGGTGTCCACACGTGCGAAAATGAAGCCGGACCCCTTCCTAACATACACGAAAATATACTCAAAATGGACGGTCGAGCTAAATGTAAGACCTTGACCTAGAGAACGCTTAGAAAAAACATAGGAGCAAATCTTTGTGGCCGTGGGTTGGTCAGTGGTTTTCCAGATGTGACACTAGAAGCTCAATCGACAAAGCAAAAACAGATAAACGACAAGTAATCTAATTAAATAGTGGGCGAAGGGCTTGAGTAGACCCCATGAAGACAGACCAATGGCCAGGAAGCTCCTACATGAAACGATGCTCAGCCACAGGGGGCACCAGGAAAACGCAAATTGGGGCGCTTCCCGTGAGTGAGTGGCCTCCCTTCTGCTCCACCACTTGGGGGCCAGGGGACCGAGGGCGAGTGAGGAAACTGACCCGACTGGCTTCTAGTGTCTCACCAATAACTGGAAGTTGAGCTAGAAGAACTGTGAAGTCACTTCCAGCTCTACAATTCTCATTGTTCCTGAGACACCTGAATTCAAAGTTCACAGCAAAACAAAGATTTGGTTTGAAACAGAAGACAAGCCCATGAAGTCTGAACCTGAGGGAGTTACAAAGGGGAGACCCATTATTCTCCAGCCAAATGACGACCAGAGTGAACAAAAACGACTTCAGACCCGAGTGAGCCTGGGGGACAGGGCCACCTCGGTGCCAGCATCTCGCCCACGGACGCGCACGGTCCAGGGTGGACACGTCTCTGCTCACGTGAGGTTCTGAGTACGTTTGAATCCTGAAAGTCCCCTCCCCACCCTCTGCCTTGCTACACTGTCCCCTCTGCCTGCAGGACACCTCCTGTCCTTCGAGTCCGTCACATGTTCCTTCTTCCACGGGGCGGTGCCATTGCTCCCAGCAGAAATGAACCCGTGAAGACGCTGTGGACCCTGCCTGGGACCGCCCCCCGGCCCGTGCACTGCTGCGGCCCCACTGTCACGGGCCTCTTCACCACCGCAGGTGCGTCCTCATCCCTCGAGCGCCGTCCCACTGCAAACAGTCCCAACACAGTCCACTGCGCACTGAAGGTCGGGCCCCCAGGCCCCTGAAACGGGCGAGGGGCAGGAAACGGGCTTCAGTGCGTGCTGGGGGGCTGCTTCCCAAGCGTGCTCCATGCAGCCCAAAGGACTACGCTTCAGATTCATGTTTTTAAAGGTTTCACTTGACAGTGGTCTGAAGGTGGCAGTGTGTGCACATGCCGGCGGGCGTGCAGGAGACGCTCCTGAGGTCCGAGCGTGGGAGGGTGCAGAGCAGGAATCAGGACAGTAAACGGCCCCCTCAAAGTCGTGCCCTCCAGCTCACGTTTTGGAGGTGGCAGCTTAACACAGGCAAAATAAAAGTTTGTGCTCAGTGCGTCCTACGTGCACAGAGCCAGGTGCTTCATGATGATTCCCAGAGAAATGCTACAAACAGCATCACTGGCCCATTTCACGGAGGACAAAACCGAGGCTCAGACGAGTCCGGCAATGAGAACGGGCTGCACGGCAGGAACGGCAGAGCCGCCTGACTCCAGAATCTGCTGTGCTGTGCTGCTGCTTTGGGACAAATAAAAAGGCAAAGACGAGAGGAGCGGACCAGAGGATGGCACGGTCTCCAGACGACATCCTACGGGGACTTAAATAAAGGGCAGCGAGTGATAACACGGGTAAGGTTCTACGTCAGGATGACAACAACGGCACCAAGACGAAAACCAAACGATTCGCCAAGAACAGCACGAGACCACGCTTCGCCAGCCGCAGCCGTGGAGCCCGGGCGCACTGCGGAGGCCGCCCTCCGCGTCCTCCAAACGGGAACCTGGCAGGGCGGTCTCGGGGACGGGCTCTGCAGCAGATGGCCAGAGTTTGTGACAGGGCGGTTCACCTCCCTGTGCCTCCATGTTCTCCATGAACGAGTGGGGACAGGGCTGTCAGGTTCTCCCACGAGAACGGTTTCCATGTGAGCCCCACAAAGTGTCGCCTGCTACTTAGTGCTACAATTTAGCAAAGACCTTCCATCTCCTCAAAGACAGACATTTGGGTTTTCTCAAAGCAA